TTAATGACTGGACCCACGTGCATAGACATTCTGACCAGCTCAATTTGTAGAGAATTTCAAGTGCTATCTAACGGTATATTTTTAAAATGTATGTAAGTTTTTATTAGGACGGAAGGAGTGTGCCACAGGTGTTTTCGTACTCCAGCGCTGCTTTTACATGTCTGTGATGACTGATCCAACCAGTCAAGATTGTTTGATCACTAAATAAATAAATAATTTCAAATATTTTAACAAATGCAAATGATTGATTATGTATTGTAATAAAGATAAGAATTTCACCAAATAGAAAAGCTCGACTATCACGTACCAGATGGAGAAGAGCAATCGTTTCTGATCAAAACAAACCCGATCGAAAAAGCTTTTACTCTGATGGAGTTATGGGACTTTTACTCAAAGCACTACTACTATACCCAAAATTTAAAAAGTTAATGGAAAAATATATCCCAACCGACAGAAAACTATTATTTCGCAGTGGCTTTTGATCTGAAAAAACTTGAAGCGTAGCTAAAAGATAGAACGAAGTCAGAGCTACAAAATGGCTAATTGAGTTTTTATTACTTTCAAAACGTTAACGCAAGAAATCATTTTTGATTTTGGAAGGTTTTCATATTTTTCGAGTTTCATCTAATTGGCTTAGTTTTCTTGATTGAAGTTCTGAAATTATAAGTTAGGTATGATTTTGTAGAGTGTTTCGAGGCGTAGTTCTGATCTAAACGTGACAAGTCTTGAGGAAAAAAGATTTAGTCTTGGTGCTAATAAACTAAGCCTTCGGGGAAAAAAGGATTGAGTTCTGCTGTAAATAACTGAAAACTAAAGCTTGTGGGAAAAAGACGGTGTTCTGGTGTAAATATAGTAGGTCTTGAGCAAAGAAGGTAGAGTTCTGGGGTAAATATACTATGTCTTCTGGGGAAAAGATGGAGCACACAATAATAAACCCCCTTGTCCATTTGTGAATGTCACCCACTGCATATTTTGAGTTTGTTCATCTAATGTATAGACTCATTTATTTAATAAGAATCTGTGACCCGTTGGAACTTCAGAAACGTTTAATAAGAATTACTACTTTTATTGTTATTTTTTATTACCGCTTACGTAGTAATAAGTTGCAGAATCAAAAAGTAATAAAAGTATTAAAAAACTAATAAGTAATAAGCACGGGATAAAGTATTTAGTAAACACAATACGCCGTGATTTGTTTTGCTCGAAAAAATATTTACATCATAGATCTTGGTCGTTGGTCGCTTTTCTGAGTGGTCAAGTAAGAGTGGCGCCTAGGTAAGGACTACCCTACTATAAAATCATCCTAGCTTCTTTGTTGCCGCTTTCTGTTAGCTCTCGACGAAAAAATCTGAAAAGGTTTGAAAGAATTGCGTTTGACAGATATCTACCCAAGAGCGTAAAAACGGGTAAAAAGGCGGGGTCCGAGAATTAAGAAAATGGCCCGTAATATTTCTCATTAGACGGGTCCGCATACCATTTGCTACGGGGTGGCGGGGTCTGAACGGTTCATAAATACGGGTATCCTGTATAACCATGTGTTCTTCATCGAAGAAATACGGGGCCACAAAAAATGTTTTTTTATGCCTTCGAAGCGCCGTGTGATTACCTGTTCTACTCTTAGACGCCTTGAGATGTAAAATTAACTTTTGAGTATGTTCCACCCCAGGCAGTCGTTTTCTTTTCGTAAAACGCCTTAGCTGCGTTTGTTTTTAACGCGGTCAAACGTATCGGTTTTGCACCATTTTTGTGATAGAAACGCGTTCAATTTTTAAGTTTGAAAAAATTTTAAAATTAAATTCAGAATCGAGCTGAGGTCCCGCGCAGCTGTTCTTTACTCTTGCCTACAGAGATCTATCATTTTGCTCGCAGGAAAATAGCCTTAAAATCACATTTTATTTTCAGAAATAGTGACTGGGCGGCTCGAATGAAAGTAATTTCTCAGTTTCGTTGCTCTTTTACTTATAGGTTCACTTGTAAAATCGAAGAACTTCTGCGAAACTTCGAACTCACTCGAATTTCGATTATTCGACGCTGTTCGAGTTTTGTATTGGTACACATTCATTTTTTCAAACTTTTCATCCAAGAGCTATTTATTATCCATATTTTGTATTAGAATGTTGTTATTGGGAGTAACACCTTAGTTTGAATAAGTTTTTTGTGTGAATCACTGTGTCTTGGGTAAAACGACTTTGCTTTTACTGAAGCAACATTTGCATCGAAATCGAAAAGTTTCCCGGACTTCATCTTGCGACATTGCCGACTGTGGAACATACACAAAAGTTAATATTACATCTCAAGGAGTCTAAGAGTAGAACAGGTAACCACACGGCGCTTCGAAGCCTCTTCATGGAAGAGAAAGAGAGAGAGAGACAGAGAGAAAGAGACAGAGAGAGAGAGAGAGAGAGATAAAAAATCATTTTTCATGGCCCCGTATTTCTTCGATGCTGAATGCGTTATACGGGGCGTTTTTAAGGTCATGGATTGATTGTTCCTGGAAATGCTCGGGTTTTCAAGGGACAAAACTTTCTGAGACACGTTCCAGATCCGCCAAATCCTCCAAAAATTATCTTGTTTGCGATTCGGCACAGCCTGTAGCAGTCCTGAACATATCGACCGACAACTGATTCTCCGTGTGCTCAGTATACCTGTCCTCGAAAAAACCATTTCTTCGAAATAGTCTACGGTGACCGATGAGCAGACAAGATTGTGTCGGTTTAAAATCGATGTTTGAGCTTATCGCTTTCGCACTGCTGTTATTATTGTACTATTACTCTATTAGACTTATCAATTTTATTACTATTGGATCTAGATACTTGCTACTTATACTGCGTATCAAATGTTGGTACTTAATAAGTAATAAGAGTAATACTATTATTTCGTATTGCCAAGTAAAGTCATAAAAAAGTAATGGCAGCCGTAATCATCATTCAAAGGAGCTCATTGAGTTTCTGACAAATCTAACAGCCAAACGATGCTGAAACATGAGACACGGATGAAAAAACTGACCAGCTCCCGCCTGATTCAAACCAAAACAGCTGGTCGTCATCCGGTCAACTCTTTCACTTTAATTATTACTGCTCCAATAAAGTGTTTTCGAATTTAAAGTTAAATTTGAATTGAAAATATATAGATATTCGTTTATGCAAACATGTCAGCCAACTTCTTTATCGACGACAGCGGCGGGACATTTCAGTTCGGCAATTTATAGAATTCCAGTGTGACAAGAAAATCAGCTCGATCAAATATTTTATTTGAATCTATTTTTTTGGATTCAAATATCAGTTTTTCTCACTGATTAAACTTTCTGAAATTTTTCGAATTTTGACTGTGTTTTTCGACATGTGTGGAAGAAGGGGATTTTCATCAAATATTCTATGTAGGAAATTTGAAGGATGATGGTCTCTCCAAAGATGATTCATCTTTTGTGAAGAATTAGTACTTTTATTGTCGTCCATCAAATACCGCGCTAAAATACCTGCCTGAGACGTTGCTTCTCCGTTACCCAGTTTCCCAAGAGCGTCACATGCAGAATATCCAACACGGTATTTCTCATCACCAAGTGCATTGAGCAGTGCGCTAATCACTTCAGATGTTGCTGCTTTGTCACCTTAGCGGCTTGATTGACTAGTGCGTCCTAGCGACAGCAACAAGAACGATGAAAGATGCAGATGAACTTACATGGATATACTTAATCCTTGACGCTGAATCCGAATAAATTAGTTTCAAAAATTTACAGTGACGACAAAGGAGTGAAATCTTAAGTTTTCTCCAAAAGTGTCAAAAGTGCCGTTTTTCATACCTTCTTCGTATTTTGAAGATTTCTCCCCCAAACTTGATGAGGATTCAATTCCAAGGACATATTCGGAATCTGCTCGTCGAACTCTGTCTGACCATGTATGTTTCAAGGAAATCTATTTTTGTGTGCCCCTTTCGAATTCTCGGTACCTTACATATCAAGACCTTTTCCTGTCGATATATAGCTGCAAAGCTCGTTGTTTAAGCACATACATTCTTTTAACCTGAGGAAAAAGGTAAAATTCTGGATTACCAACACTTAGTAAGATCTTACTAAGATTACATGGTCTAATGTTTTTCCAAGCTTAGGCAAGAATCTTTTAGGATCTTAATAGTAAGTATGATGAAACTTTTTTAATAATATTCATTCAAGATTCGCTGAGAATTTTTGAATCTTTAATCCGCATTATCCAAAGTGGCAGTTGAGCAGTGTTGAAGAACGAAGAGAAATTTCATATTATCGGATGCCCAACCATGAACCTTAACCTGCATGTACACTCTCTAAAAAGTTGTTGAATACTTTCGAACAAGTACTAGCAGAGTCTAGAAGAAAAATAACCATAAAATCAGTCATATTTTGTGTATGTTACTTATATGGATGAATGAGAGCAAAATAAAAGGGTGAATAAAAGTAGAATCATTAAATCTTATTAAGATCTTAAATTATCTTATCAAAATCTTAAGGGATAAGATCTCAGTAAGATAATTTTAAGAGGCGTTTAAGATTTTTACTACGGCTGCCACCCAATTTATTTACTACATTAATAAATTTTGACGTAATGTTTTTCTATCATATGATACTTTTAGTTAACATGATCTTTTATGAGTTCTTTTCTAGTTCAAATTATGTTGAGTTGTTGTCGAACACTTACATCTTGTATAGAAGTTAGTTTATTTCACGCATGAAGTGCAAATTGTCATTTTACGGTTGAGTGCTTTAAAGCTTTTTTTACAAGGTAATATAATGAAGAAATGAGTGTAAAACAAACTCTATCTAAAAACACCGTCTATAAGACTATGATGTATAAACACTTCGTCCTGATTTTCTGTTTCCGGCTATGCTTTCACACATTAGTGTCAAAAATGCAGTTTTTTGCTCAAACACCATAACGAAATATTTGCTTAAAAAGACCAATAAATTCAAATAGAAATCATAGTTTCTGATTGCTGGAGAGTAATATGAACTATATTTTTTATTATTGATCATGAAAATATTTCGTCGAAAAAAACCTCAAATGTCACCTGTTGAAAAATTAATACACAAAGGTGATAAAAACGTTGAAAGATATAAACGTCGTGGCATCTTTAAATTCTTGTTTGTTCTGAACAGATCGAACAAATGTTTGATCGAAGCAAAACTGTTATATGTTCGTGCTGGTAATGAAGCAAAAAGTGAACTAAATTATCAGTTGGCTATAAAAGCATACACGAAAGCCGTAGAAATATGTGAAGTTGACTCAGCTGAAACTGGAGAATGTTATGAAAAAATAGCCTCATGCTATCTTACCTATGAACCACGACAAGCTATTGCTTATTATAAGCAAGCAAGTCAAATTTATGCCTCAAGTGGACGGTATTCAACAGCAGGTACTCTTCTAGAAAAATGTATTCAACTGTGCGAACAAATCGACGATTACGACATAGCGCTTGATTTATGTTTAATAGCGGAAAGATATTACATGGAGGGAAATGAAAAGGCGTTCGCATTTCGAATCAAATCGAAGATCGCTGGCATTTATGTCGTTCAGCACAAGTATACAGATGCAAAGAATTTATTTGAAAATTTAGTCATTTTGAGTAAACAAGAATCCACCATATCGATAGGTTTTACGGATGAAAGACATCACTGTTTATGGTAAGAGGTTTACCGTCAGTAAAAAAAAATTTATTGATGCTTCTTTTCTTTATTTTCAGTGCCTTGTTCTGCAGTTTGTGTGCAAATCCGTTGAGTTCCGCTCCAAGTATCTATGACACATATTCAATCACTTTAGCGACTATTTATAGTACTCGCGATTTAAACATTATTGAAAATATGATTTACTGTATTTGTGCGGGTAACAGTGACACATTTGAACAATTAATTAATCATAGTAAAACCATTCGACAACTCATCGAAACGGATAAAACAACAAAACTTCTAGTGAGCGAATATAAGGATAAAATCAATTCCGAACTCTGCGTACGACTATGAGAAAAACAATTTCTTTTCTATTAATCATGAAAGAAATTTTATTCTTCTGGGCTACATTTAGTCTAACGATGGAATGTTTCTTTAAACATGTTCATTGTCTGTACTAAAATGCACTATGATGTAATTGATAAACATACATTTCTTTGTCAAAATGTCAATATTAGATTTTAGATGTAGATATTATAGCCTAATTAAAGGTTTGTCGTAATCTTCAGATTTTCGGGTAGGGATCAATGAATCTGACAGCCATCGCAGAAATAAAAGTATGTTGCTGTCTCTTTTGTTAGGAAAACGCCTTAGAATTATTGGAAGGTGTAACGAATTAGTTGATAGTATCATAAGCATTAGTGGCCGATCGAAATTTGATAACTCAGGTGCACGATTAATACGTGCATAAACGTAGGAATGTTCAACCCATCTTTGTTTGGTTTAAGCTTTATCTTGAACCAGAACGAAATCGAGAATATAAATTCCCATTATATCATTATGAAACTTAACCTATCAAAACACAAGATCAATCCTTGCACAAAGCTAGCATCGAAAACACATCTTTGTTTAATTAAGACGGGGGCCGCCCCCCCCGCGCGCGGGGGTGGTTGGGATGCGTATAGGTGGGGTTGTCCCCGGCCTCTATAC